TGACAATTTTCAGTATGTTTTACTGAATCGGTTACATATCTGATGTTTTTCAAAGCGACGGCAATMTGAGCGTTTTTCTTGCATTTCATCCAACTTTTACATCTGTGAGGCGGGCGTGAGCGAGTTCATAAAGACACTAACCTCGAGTTGTGCAGTTTAGAYCTTCTTCAGCTACAGAACAGAAGTCCGTTTGCATCTGGTCAGAGGCAGGTTCAGTWATAAACATTGAACTAAACAAACAGGTCATATAATTATTTAACCAGCTCTGATTGCACAACAACATCAGAATCGACACGCTAACAAGTACCATCCTTGTTTATCTAATTCTGTAAACAGTGAGTTAAATGTGACATCATCTTCTGTTGATGTGGGTCACATCAGAACTACACTGGTGTCTGATGGAGGTTTCATTTAAAACATAATGTGAATATTCATGCAAAAAAATTGATTTTTTAAAAAAAAAATCTAAATTGAACATTATTACCTGCAGTGTAGCTTTAAAGATCACCAATTCTCGTTTTCTAGGTTGATTTTGATTTTTGTACAGGTTTGACCTGCTGTTTCAGATTTAAAATTACATCAAAGAACAAAAGAATAATCAAAAGCACACAAAATAGAATATTAAAAATAAAATTAAAACGTTTTGTTCTCTTCAAAAATAAATAAATAAATAAATAAATCCATTAAACTAAAACTCTTTTGGTGTTTTATTTTTTCATAAACCGGGCAATGGCTCTTTCTTTTTGCACTCAGTAATAAAAGTTAACTGAATAATAAGACAAACACGTTTTCTTCAGCAGTGTCAAAAACATTTCTTTTGATTAATCTTTAACATCTTTAAATGATTAATTTGATAAATCTGTAATTACATTCGTCCCAAGCTTGCATGTGCTAAACTTGAATATTTTAGCTGTTTAATTAACAACAAATCTGATGTGCAAAAAGTATTAAGAAAAACCTCATAGATCCATGTCAAATAATTTTTTTCAGTAACGTTTTACATTTATTGTGCTTCCTTATTTTTACTTTTATTATTATCTAGATATTGTATAAATAAAACTTCGGTCTTCCAAATGCAGTAAAACTTTTAATTGAAAAACGTATTTTTAGCAATATTGCGTAGCTGTCTTACATTCACAGACTGGAAAACATTTAGATTTTTAACTGCCTACAGTATTACTGAGTCACTTTCCAGCTAATCAATGCATCTGCAGCACTTTTGTTTTATTTGTCCACTTTAAAAACATGAATAAAATCAAAGGATACTTCAAAGCAGATTATCTCAGAAACATAGAAATTTATGAGGGGGGTCACAAATCTTTGGATACCACTTCACAAACCAGCATTAACCACCCTGCATGTGCTATGAGACACAACAACATGACCATTTTTAATGGCATGAATACAAAAAAACCCCATCAGGGACGTAAAAAGATATTTATTTTCCTATTCTCTTTTCTTGGTATATTTAAAGCTCAACATGCACATTAAAAGGAAAACGTTTATGTTGTTTATGCCATGAAAGAAATCCTTGAGGGTGCTAAAGATAGTAAGGCTTTAAACCTTACTATCTTTCCACGCTGTTTGATTTTACTCCCCACTGTCCTTGTGAGGTGCCTGTTTCAAAATAAATGAATACACATATATATTTTTTACCATTGGGCGTCCCCCACCCAACAAAATGTTGTTTCACCAGGACAGCCCTCTCTTCCCGTTGGCTTCTGAACTCCAGCATACCCACTTCTGACCCCAGCCTCTTGCATGCTACAATCCTTTTTTTGTTTTAGGGAAAAAGAGGGAAATGTATGAGCACCCTGTCTTCTGCTTGGCCTCTCAAGTGATGGATTTAACCATCCGTGAGTACCTTCATCATCCTCTCCCCCATCCCTCGTTTGGGTGCTCTCTCACCTCATCCCTCCTCTCCTCCTCCCTTCAAAGACGCTGCCATGCTTGTTTTGATCTGTGCCTTTTTTGTGTCAGAGTGAGTGGAGAGCGCACCAGTCCACAGATCTGTGCCGCACCACACTGAGACAGTCGGGGGTCCACGTTCTTTTAGCGCCATTTGTTTGTGATGGGCATGAATGAGCCGTCTGGTTTGTAAGCTTCTTTCTTTTGGTTGGACACCCATTCTTTTGACTTGAATGCATTTTTATATAGCCTACATTGTTATTTCCTGCAGTCATTTGGCCTGTTCATGTCTCAGTAGCTTTGGMAAACAGGTAGGCTTTTTTTTTCTCTCTTTACCAGCTGTAGTGAAGGAACATCTCTCAACAGAACTTTTTGAGCGGGATTACAGGTGACAGGGTTTGGATTTAACAGTTTGTATTCTAACTTTACTCAAATCAAAGCGAGTCACTCAGTGTGTCCTGTCTATGACCCGTCTACTTGTAGCTGTGTCCTGTTTGTTGACGGTATTGTAAGCTTTGTCTGTTTGTTAACCAACATCTTACCACTTGTTTTAATTTCCAGTTTTCCACAGGCTAATGTTTCAGTGTTTTTGTATGYTTTTATTTTTTATATGGTTTATTTGTGATGTTTGTCTGTTGCCTACAAACCTCACTTCCTGCAGCTGACACGGCCCCATCAGATTCTTTGAAAGGGTCACGTGACCACGAACAACAACTCTGAGCCCCGACCACCTGTACTGTGCAACTGATCACAGAAACATGCTAAAAAGTCTAAACATCTCCTTTTTTTATCTTTTCTCTCCCTTTTTTTCTTGCGGAAGTTGAGAAAGGTCAAAAGGATCAAAAGGATCCAGGTGATGCTTATAATTTAGCTACAGCGCATGCACATGCACACACGCACAAAAGCACACAAGCACACACACATCCAACACATCTTACTCCGTACCTTGCATATATTTACTGTAAACACCTATAAAAAGTGCATGCATTTACCAGCATCTTCTTTAAATCATAGATACACGATGTCATGTATTTAAATGTTTAAAAAGTACATACAGTAGAGATTGTACTACTTTATATTTGATAGTACTATTAATATGCAATCCCCTAAAACATATATCCTAAATTTAAAAAAAACTACATCTCATTTTAATGTTTTATCTTCAAAAAACAAATTTAAAATCATGATCAAAAATTATAGTACATCAAAATTATAGAGTAATGCAATCTCTTACAACAAGTCATATATTTGTTTATTACGTATGTTACAGCAGAAGATAATGTTTCACTGCTCCACATTATCTGATAAGCTAATCAGTGCAGCACAGTTAGAACATAGTTCATCTGAATGTGCTGTTGGATCATTTGATCATATAAAATAGACATTTTTTGAATTTCAACTGTGTACAATCATGTTTTAAAATCACGTGCGGGAGATTTTATATTTGTTAAAAGAGCATTTCAGACTTATAAAAGCAAGCCTATAATATTTTACCTTAGCTGTTAAAATATTTGTTTTAATTCAGTTTTTGCCCGAACTACAACATATTTGTGGTCTTCCATTATTTATCTGATGGTTAGGTGAAGCTTTGATGTAAAAAAAATAACCCTTTGTAGACTGTCTTGTTATCAGGTTTGTCGTACTTCTCAAACTATCTAAGGTTAAACATCCTTAGAGAGGAAGGATAGTAATTGTTGCTAAAACTCTGACTTTTCAAGTTCACACATTAAAATGTCCCAAAGACAGACAGTGAAGAGAAAATTTGGATTTAATCGAAGTTTTTCTGTGAAGTTGTTCCCAACAGTCAACATTGTAAATGAGACTACCTGTCCAAATAAAAGTAAATAATAAAACAATTCTTACCTGAAGTAGAAACCACTCAGAGAAGTTGAGCTAACAGCTAAACAAAGCGGAGTCGGTTCCAAAGTTCATTTTTTCCATATTTAAACACCTACAATCTAAAAAAAAGCTATTTAATTTCTAAACAATTATATCTAAAAGATATAGTTCATGTTATACAAATAATTWGCTTTACCTCTTAAAACATGCCACAGCTGTGGTGAATACTGACATGTCTAAAAAAGGCGTCTACTCAAAGCTGCGTTTGTAAAACTGCTGCTTTTTTCTGTAGAGTTGCGTATTTATGTGCTTTTCTTTTCAGATTTGTGTTACCATTCAGTGCCGTGTTCAAATACACACACATTTATCCCACACTGTTGTTGCTGTGTTAATAATTTCATTTCATGACCTGTATCTGTCTTATTAAATCATCCTGGCAGTGGAGGTGCGACGGAATCGTTTGGAGGTTTAATTAATTAATTAGAGCCGGAGTGATGAACTAGGAAGGACAAAAACTAGTTTGAAGCACAAAAGCTTTTTCTTATGTCCAATTTAGCACCAGTACACTGTAAAAAGTTCTGTAAAAAAACTGATAAAATTATACAGATCAGTCGCCCCCTATTATTATTATTATTATTATTATTATTATTATTATTATTATTATTATTATTATTATTATTATTGTTATTGTTATTGTTGTTATTTCCCTTTTTATTCACAAAGGATTAATATTCTAATTTCTGAATGTTTTGTTTTTGTGCCATCTTAAAGATCTTTAGCGTTCCCCTTAAAGGTCATTAAATGTGTTATTTTTTCTATTTTTTACTCTCAGACTTGTGAAAAAAATAGGATAAAAGTGTAAAGTATTAAGATTATTCAGCAATTAAACAAGTATAAAAATCATTTTTAGAAAAAATACATTTTTATATGTATCATACAACAGTAAAATCTCACAATATCTACATACCTTTAGATAACTTAATAAACTATTCAACAGTTTGATTTTAGTGCACTATGTAACATTCATGCGAAAACAATCTTTTTGAAATTTTTGTTTTTACTCAGCCAGTTCCCTCTAATAAGGACGCTTTGTGTTAAGTCACAATAGATGCACTGTAATCTGGAGATTAATATAAGGGTAGAAGAAGTCCTGACACATTTTTACAGTGTGTGTAAGTTTGTAATCAAGCTGTGCGATGGCATCTCATACAGATGGCTTTTTTTTCAAACCGCTTCACAATGTGCTTGTTTTTGATGCCACATTGCACCTCCATCTCAGTGCCACTATTCTTGTGTTCGAAGCTCCTGCAGCATAAATCTGATTCTCCTACAGACACATCAACTCTGTTGCTTCATGTCATGCAGCTTGCAATGCATATACAGTCAATAAGATGATGTTTTACTTGTTGTGAGGGGCAGAAGTGGGTAAACGTCACAGTGTAAGTGCTGAATAAATGGTCAAAAACGAAAGAAGATGAAGAATCTTTTGAGTAGTCAAAAAAAATTAAAATAAAATACAAAAAAATCCCGCTGGAATGCTTCTCTGTGCTTGACTAACCACTCATCCCTCACCCTCATCCTTTTGTCTCAGAGAACGTAGGCCGCTTAGTCACGCCTGCCAAAAAGCTGGAGGAAACAATTCGCCTGGCGGAGTTAGTCATAGAGGTCCTCCAGCAGAACCAAGAACACCACGCGGAGGTGAGTGAGAACCCTCTCCTCCTCCTCCTCCTCCCCTCAAAACACTTTCCCTCCTATACTCTCACTCTGATCCCACTCGCCCCACTTCAGAGAGTTAATCTTATAATCAGGCTGCTATAAATAAAGCTGCTTTCATCTACGGTAGCACAAAAAAAGAGTTAATGTATAGAAGCTTTGATTGGCACAAAACAAACAGTGGCTACAGAGAAACAGAACTGTGATGTTKCAGTATAATAATTAGATGATAGAATAACTTCAAAAAATAGTTTTCAAAAAGGCTTTTCTAACATAAAACACCTACCGGTATTTGAAATACTGTTAAATTCTTTGTTTCAATCATGTGATAGAAAGGTAACCAGAAGACAAAATAGTGACTGCATATTCCTAATTTTGTAGATTCTTTACAACAGACAAATTAGGGAATCATCGACAAAAATAAAAACGTAGAAATACACAATGATCAGGTTTACGCACAGTATTCTGTACTGTAATCTGCTAATTTCTAATTATTTTAAAAGCAAAGCTTTAGTTTCTTTAATCAGATTTTCACACTAGACAACTTATACCAACATATGAACATTTTAAAGACTATTACATTGAAGATGGAATTGGAAAAATATCAACAGGAAGCTTCTTTTCGGTGTGTACATAATGTAATTTGAACTAATTGATCAAATATATTTTATTTATTAGCAATTTAGACATTTAAAAATATTTCATAAGTCGGCATAAGTTGTCTAGTGTGACTGGGCCTTTAGATCATTTTAACTTCTTTTGGGGTTTAATTGTTATTTTAATAACATTAGAAAGCTGTAAAGCAGAAGTAATGTTTTAATTATGTAAGGTAATCTGATAAAATAATAAAGTGTAAGATTTGCAATGTTAAAATCAATGGTTTGTCATTCAGGGGGACCTATTATGCTTTGCTGCTGAATAATTGTTTATTTTTCTGATATTCATCATAATGGCGTAATCACTAAACGTTACAATAACTCTTTACGCAATCACTCAAGTTTTCTTTTTTTGTCAAACAAGCTGATATCTTCAAGCCTCATGTTTTGTAGAAATTGTTGCTTTATTTTGCTAATATTGAAGTTCTGAATGTCAACTAAACCTCCTAAAAATCACTTAAAATGGCAACACGATGTAGCACAGCTCGAGTCAGAACAAACAGCATTTGCAGGAGCAAAAAAATCTGACTGCAAACTTGGTTTAAAAAAATCCAAAGCTGAGATGCATCAGGACACTTTGGGTTTGTAGATATGCAAATTATTTGGTTATTTCTTAGAAATTACACTTGAGAGATAAATTAGAAAAATTTAGTTTGAGTCTCTGAACCTGATTTGGCAGCAATTTGAAGAAATCACTCAAGGTGATGAAAATGTTTGGAACCATTGCCTTCTGGCTCAGTGAGAGCCCTTTTAGATACATTAACTTGTTGTAAAACAAGCCTCTGATGATGATAAGCAAATATTAAATAAAGAAGAGCTTAATAAATCCTCCTAATACAAACCATTGAACCGCAAAATATACAGTATGTAAAGTATAAAAAATGTCAGTAGTTTTCACTTAAATTCAATGTAAAAGTAAAATTCTGTTAGTTAAAACACTAAAATTAGATTTCTTATTCCATTTTTAAAAGCATTGCAGGTGCCCATGTGTAGTTGTGTAGCTGATCCAGTGTGGTCTCAGAATATGCAGATAAAGCAGATTTACTTTATCTCTCTGAATATGCTTGACAGGCGGCAGTCACAAGTTCTGGAGATCAATCGGTACAGTATTTTTATTTCTTCCTCCTTTTCAGTCCCCATCACAACCCCCCTTGTATGGCATGTGCCACTATGGCAAGAGGCACTTTTTTCCCCAGGCAGAGAATGAACTCATAGTTACTCTAGCACTGGGTGGGTTTCTGGGCATGAAAACAACATGAAAACAAACTTGTTCAAAATATTAAAAAAAAGAAAAAAAGAAAGAAAAGCACATTAGCTTTCACAACATAATTGCGATCATAACGCATGTTCATTGGGTCATTAAGCAGGTTTCCTTTCTCTCCAAGCATGCCGAACCAGAAAATTTCCCAAAGTCTGCTCCATATGAACCTTTGAAGTTTGATCCACCATGAACATTTGTCCCCCCCCCCTCCTTTTCCATCCAGCAGTTAATTTCACAGTCTGCACTTGTTCAAGCATCACTTCTCCAGCTTCTCCTCCTCCATCCCTCTCTGCTATCTGTTCTTAGACTACAAAACCGTTCAAACAAATGCCTCTAAACACATTATTGTTCTGTACATCTTCCTGTGTTTTCACTGTCATATGATTGGTGACTGTCCAAGCAGGGGAAAGAGGTATGTAGTCAAGCTGAATGAAAAGCTCCCACGATGCTCTGTGCATGTAAARTAGATGATTCTACATATCCTTCCCTCTCAGCATCAGTGCCCCTCCCTCAGGACTGGTGCCTTGTTAAATTGAAACAGCATTAAAGTCTGTGTGGCTGAATATTTAGCTCTCAGACTCCTGGATGTGCCCCTCAAACACTATCAAAGGCAGGAAGCTGGCCTACCTTTGAGCGTTGTCCCTTCCCTTTCCTGTTGGAACATTTTCACATTCCTTCCCTTTGACTTTTTGAGAGTTTTTCTCCCTGAATGTGATGGAGAACAATCYTGTTTGCTGCCCATTTCTCTAACATTAGAGCTGTTTTTTTAATTGTAGGCGTGGACAGGTAAGTTGGCAGGTAAGTGAGGTTGTGATTGGCATTATTGGGGGGCTATTATAGGAAGAAATAGAACCTGAAAGACTTAGGGGGGTTAAAGAAAGCATGCACCATAGTTGGAAAAGATTAAGYTTCGCTTATTGAATTTGGCCTTCTGTTAGCCTGAATGATAAGCAAATAAGCCAAGACTGCCAGCAAAGCAGCTACTGCGCTTGTGCTGTCAAAGAGTGAGAAAGTCCTGACGGTGCCAGGGAATCGTCAGCTGAATCTCAAACACTTACTTAACTAATTGGAACAGACGTACTTCAAGTGGAGAGATGCTGTGCGCTGCAGTCTCTGGTGTGCCACTCAAAGACGTGCATGAGTCACATTCACATCTCCTGAGCGTTCTGAGATTGTTGCTGATGTGAATGGTGGACCGCCCCACTCCCTTACCCCTTAGTTTGGGAGAAACGCATGCAGGGAGATCCACGTTTGCATGAAACATAAAAGCACTTTTTAGATGCACTGAATTTGTCATGAATATGGAGCACAGACACGCAGCCCTTCTGTGCAAATCCTTCAAACGAGCTGGACTTTTGAATCTTAATTAACAAGGAGCTCTGGATTTCATCCTGAAATACAAGCGCGCGCGCACACACACACACACACACACACACACACACACACACACACACACACACACACACACACACACAAATATGAACAGCATGGTGAAGTCTTAGTCTTCATAAACGACCCAAGTCTGCTGGACAGTTGAGGGACTTTGCTCTTTTTAAGAACAGAACAAGTCTTCCTCCCGCAGTGAGGACGATGTGAAAATCAATCGCAGCATCCTGTTTGTATGCTGAACGTGAAACTGGAGTCAGAGCAAGTTAAAACTAGAAACAGACAATCAGGGTTCCCCTACAGCAAATACTGACCTATTTATTAAATCCACTGATTGTCATGTCATGTCAGAATCATGTTGTTTTTCCTGGCTTATTCTTATATTTGGAGACTTGTGACACTAAAGACAAAAGAGCCAGTAGGTAGAGACTTTGAGTTAGAACTCCAAATGTATGAATGCAAAGTTTTATTCTATGAACAGAAAAAAAAATCATAAAACTTTAACTTTCAAACTGTTCATGGATGATTCATGTGTTTGTCCATATTGTAATCTCAAAATACTGTTTAGTATATACAGTATATATACTTCAAACTAAAATGAGCATATAGAAAACAATGGTATAAACAAGTAAAATATAAAATCTTGTTTTACATCAGTAAAGACTAGATCAAATATTTATGTTGCATTTTTTTACCTATTTTTTAAAATCTGATTTCAGTTTAATGGCGTTTTTAAAATTTCTATCTTAAAAACATCAATAAAATCTTATATCATCAATATTAAACAAGTATTTTTCAGTTACAACCTATATGTTTTATTATTTGCATTTCCACACCTAAGTTTAGTTGAAAGAAGTTGTAACGAAGTAGGAATAATGAACATTTTTTCTTTGTGTTGATGGTTAAAAACTGAAATACTGTAAACCTTCAGCCAGAACACCTTTTAATTATAAGTTATTAGTTTACCTGGATAGTTTAGTACAAAGTACAAACCAATAAACTGGATTTTTCAAGTTATAGGATTTTTAAGTGTTTAAAAAACTGATTTAATTATGCGTTGCCACTGAACAATTTTTATTCTCAGCTAACGARCTGTTTTTGTTTTATATTTGAAGAAGAGTTAAAAAAAAAAGGAAAAATGTGGCACATCTCAGCAGAAAAGCTCAATTTTCAACAAGTGAAAACTGAATTATGTCAAAACACCTTTATGTTTGAAGTCCTGGTGTTTTAAGAAGCTCTTATTTTGACTTTAAATGTGGAAACCTCGCTCACCTKGTCGCTCTCCCTCCCTGCTCTGTCTCTAGGCGTTTGCATGGTGGACAGACCTCATGGTGGAGCACGCAGAGAACTTCCTGGCCCTCTACGCCATCGACATGGACGCCGCTCTGGAGATCCAGTCCCCTGAGAGCTGGGACAGCTTCCCCCTCTTCCAGCTCCTCAACGACTTCCTCCGGACAGACTGTAAGCTCCAGATTTCTTTCAGCGTCTTCAACCTGCAACGCAAGTCGCTCATTCCCACGCGCCGCCTTCCTCTTTCTCCACAGATCATCTGTGCAATGGAAAGTTCCACAAACACCTTCAGGATTTGTACGCCCCTCTGGTGGTTAGATATGTGGACCTGATGGAGTCCTCCATCGCACAGTCAATTCATAAGGGCTTTGAGAGGGAGTCCTGGGAGCCTGTAAAGTAAGGAGCCTCCATCTTTAGAGCAGGGCTGTAGGATGCTTGCAGATGCAAGTCTTTTTATTTTCAGATGACAGAATGACTGCGTGGAGGCTGTGTAATCTGGGAGAGCAGATATCATATTTGCACAGACTTCCTGTAGGTTCACTGGTAAAGAATGAGCCAAGAGTGGGCTGATAACCTATTTTTTTCCATGAAAGAAATAGGTTATTTATTCATTTTTTCCTCTGGGAATAGCTTCTGATTAATGCATGTGTCTCAACAGTTTGCTCCAACACATTGGGATCAGAGCAACGTGTAATATTTTTGTTGTTTTTGTTTGCAAACTTAAATTCATGATGTGCGCTTTGACGTGTTATACGAAGCAAAAAGTCTTAAGTTTATTTTGTTGCGATCATAATTTATTTGTCGTGGCTTCAGCGTGCCTATTTCTACATTTTATTGTTTCATTGCAAAGATATCTTTTCATCCCTTTTATGTTCCTTGTTTGTTTATTGTCGTCAGTATTATTTTCTCTGTCCCACTGCTTTCAATACAATTTGTGTGTGCGTCCAGCTCTCTGGATTCTGTAGGTATTTTTGTAAATCGTCCGTCTTTGACGATAAGCTTTGTTTCTTGTCCTACTGTGTGTTTCTTTCTTCTCCTATTTTCAGATTTTATGTTGATGATGAGTGTTACATGGCTTTCTGCAGCTCCCACACCACTGTTATGTATTCTTTTTTTCTTTTTGTCTGTCTTTTCTGCAGGAGTTTAACAAGTAATCTGCCCAATGTGAATCTACCAAATGTGAACCTCCAAATTCCCAAAGTACCAAATCTGCCAGTGCCCGTAGCAGGACTATCAGTTAACCTTCCACAAATGCCTAGCTTTTCTACCCCGTCATGGATGGCTGCTATATATGACTCTGAGTGTGTATTCAACTAGTTTGTTTTAGATATGACAGTAGAGAGTAACTTGGTATGAAGATGACTCTGGAGTAAAACAAAGATGTGTATTTTAAAGTACATAGATATGTTTTTTTTTTCCCTATGACAAGTTGGAAAATCTAAAATAAACCAAGTTTCATCACATATATTGATATTTCACAATAATATTCATGTTCATGCCAAGTTTGCTCTAAGTTAGAATAGATGGGGTTCTGTTTTCTGAAATGAGAGGGTGAAGTACTCTCATTTATCTCAACATGCATGCTGTTGAGCTGAGGTGTGGAGATACAGGCCCAAACAAATCTTGAAAATGTATGCATATGGTGAGGATTCACAATGAATCCCCCTCCAAAATAAAAAGACATTTCAAAATCAAGATTTTCATTCTCCACATAGTGTTTCTTCAGAGATGAAATCCACAGACATTTACTTCATTGACTGCTACAACCTGGCTGATGGGCTGCAACATAGCATGGAGACTTACACAAAGAACCAAAAAATTAAACATTTATTCGATTCATTCCTTGTAATCAGAGGTTGGGTTGTGAGGCAGCTGATCCAGGAAGGAAGCCCTGGGATCGATCAGCCATATCAGGTGGGTCCGTGCAGAGGAGACTGGCCCTCTTTGATCTGGATTCACCTGAGGGATCCTGAGGTGTCCCATGGCCAGAAAGGATTATTTAATATCTTCTGTAAGTTCTGGGCCTGCCCCGGTGTTTCTGCCCAGTAGGACGCTCCTGATAAACCTCCACTGGGAGGTAACCAGTGAATATTATGATCAGCTGACTCATTTCAGAAAGAACAGAGCAGCAGTTTTACTCTGAGCTGAGATGATGGAGCACTTCGCCCTTACTGTAAAGCTGAGGTCAGGCACTCCACGTATTTCAGCTGCTTGTATCTGTGATCTTGTTCTTTTAGTCATGATCCAAATCGTATAATTAGAATATCAGTAAAACAGTTAATCAAAATGCTCACCTTTTGGCTCAGCACTCTCTTTGGTCTCGAGAGACCAAAGCAGCGCCRTCATTACTGTTGATTAAGACCCAGTTCATCTGTCTGTTTCTTGTTCCAACCTACCACCTCTCTTGTTCAGGATACAGAGATACCGAGATTCTTAAAGTTGTTTAAATAAGGCAGAAACTCACCCCAAACCTTAAGGGTGCACTTAACTCAGATTTGATGGAATGGACTCATCTCTGTACTCCAGACATGGTTGTGAACTCCTGCAGTGTTTGAAGATGCCAACAAAAGTGCATTGTCTGCAWAATGAAAAGATCCTACTTTGAGGTTCCCAAACCAGACACTCTCCTCCCATAAACACAACCAAACAGGATCCATGAATGCACCAGGGGTGAATGAGACCGGCTGACTACTAGAACAGGGGTGTCAAACGTCTTTTCACCAAGAGCCACATGAGCATTTTGGTGGCCCTGAAAGGGCCAGTTGTAATTAAGTTTGACAATTTCCAATTCCTCATCTTTTACAGCTGAGCTCTGCTAACAAACAATATCTGAGCTCTACGTGGTATTTCCTGCATAGAAATATCTTTTTAACATGCCCTCTWATAAACACTAACAAGTATTAYGTGTGTGAGGGACAAAATGTGAAAAAAAATACAGAAATGCTATTAAAGTAAAAGTAAACTACTTTTACTCACTGTTAAGTTGTGGTGAGTAGCCGCCATCTTGAATCCTAAATTATCCCACTGTCTGACAGGGAATTACCACTGGAAGGATGTTCCAATGTAAATTCTCAACTTGTAAGTGGGAAGTTCCCACTTCCCAGTACAACTGGGATGCAGCTGGTGATGTTTGTCAAGTAATATCTCCTGCCAGCTACTTTTGAACCAAGGAGGTCCTATAGAACAGCTGGAGTGGGCAAAGACCACGTGACCGTGTGATCGGCTGGTGAAGCTAACAGCTAACGCTAAACGGGCAAGAGTCTGGATTTCCCATTACTGTACATGTTGACAACAGAGCAGAAAAAAAGGACTGACGATGTATAAATCATTAAAACTATTAATAAAATATTAATCCAATTATTATTAATATTTTACGGTTCATTTAATCTATCTAATGTTTTAAATAATGCCAGAAAAAACTGTTTGTGTTATGGATTTATTAACAGAATATAAACAGGAAAACATCTCATTTCACAACACAGGTCAGCAGATTTGATCTCATTTAGCTCAATGTGTTCTGAGCAGAACATAATGTCACAGTTTAAAATAAAATAATCTAATGATGTCGATGTAATCACTGTTATTTATTGAACTGGTTAGCAGATATTAGTTTGTGGAGCATATACTGTATACAGAGTTTAGCACTGTTGAATCATGCTACAATTTAACACAAACTATTAAAAATCACAGCTGATT